AACTGTGGGAATGTGCAAAGGAAAGACTCAGAAAACGACCTCTCTTAAGTGTCCAAACTGTTTTTTTCCCTCCAAATCTATTGTGACTCTCTCTTCCAAAAATGTCAGTAGACATATTTGTAAAATTAATCAAAGTAGCATTTACAGGTTACTTTTCCCCCCATTTTTTTCTGCTGCAATTGATTAAATTCTCTATATTAGCACTTTAAAAAAATACTAATAAAGGTGTACTTATTGAATTGGTGTGATTAAATGCAGATAATCCTAACTTTAGAAAAAACAGAAAAAAAAGTGTAATTTTACTGCTTCAAAAGGAAGAATTGGAGGTAAAATGATCCAGCAGGAGAAATGTGGAGTAACCAAGGGGTTAAAGATAAAGTTTACACTTGGGAATTCTCTGCAATATGCTCCTCCTTCCGTCACAGGGCTGCCAAAAATCATCTGACAGGAAACATAAGATTAAGTTTGTCCTACCTAAGTGAACAAAGAGTGCTCAGAACAGGCAACCAGTTTACTGCAGAGCGGGAACTTTTCTAATCCTGCTGGAATCTGCAGCACTGCTCAGAAAATATTACTGAAGTTGTTTTCTTTACCCTAACATCTTGCTTCTGGATCATCTCATTTTGGTCACACTGCAGATTTTGCTGCTTCTCCCACAAAGGTTAACGTAAAGCTCCAAACATAATCATGTGGAAAATGGACATTATTGATTCCTATGGTCCATTGTTCCCCCATTCTAAGTCCCTGAAGTTCAAGTTCAATCTGGAATTACATCATGTCTGGTTTCTCCTGGTTACCAGACGGCTTGAGACGTGACCACAGCTACAGAAAAAACAAACAGCCTTCTTCACGCTTCGGCTCCCCTATCGATTCAAACATAAACTTTTTTTCTTTCTCTCAAGTATGCCTCAAGTATGGAGCATGGTTAATTTAGAGATTAAGTTCCAAATTAGATTATCTAATGGCATCTTAATGGATTGCTGACCCATTTCCTGTGGGATGGCAGCATGCAAGTCTGGCTTGAATACAATTAATTTCTTAGGAAGTGTTCTGAAGATGTTTGCAGAGATGGAGAAGAAATACAATCTTCTGTGCATCCTTCTTCATTACAAAGTTGGGTGAAACTGTTAGTGATAGCAACTTACAATGATAAAGACCAGAAAATACTAGGTTTTCCTTCTGTGACTACTTTCACCATCAGCACAGTTTGGCATTTCTGGTCTTAAACTGCAATCCCTGCATTGATATTTTTCTGCTGAAACATGGCAGAATAGGGGGCTCGGTGGGGGGAGGACACAGCACTGCTCTGACAGGTGTTGGTGTTTGCCAAAAGCAATGCTGCATGTGTTACTTTGGTTGTTTTTGCTGGATTCAAAGCACTTGCAGGGTCCTGTGATACAAAAGCAGTTCTTAGCCCTTTTCACTCCCCCCGCTCACTCCTTTGACAAACCAGAGATTATTCCATCTGACCGCCTTATCAGCACTATTATCTTAACCCCGGAGCGGTGCTGGGGGAAAAGCGCTGCTTGGAAAGTGGAACATGCGAACACCCCTACAGCCAGAGCTGAGAAGGAAACTCAGCTCGGAGAATAAAAGTCCCCTCAGGAGCTCCAGGAACAAACCAGCTGTTGTACTGTACTTATGTGTCAAGATAACAGACTGAACGCAGGAAATGCTAACCTAGTGCATTTTTGCCTGGGAAGTGTCAATGTAATGTTAAAGTTACAGTTAACCCGCAGAACTAACAAAGTAAGATTGTTTAAAGAGAAAGCTAATAGGAAAAGAAGCTTTTTAAAGAAAATCTGTGTTAAAATGCACATTTTGGCACAGAAAATTTGTTTACAGTCTGTGAAAGACTTGCAAATACTCAATATGCTGTAAAAGAAATCAGTCGTGCAGCCCCTTATGAGCTGTCCCACTGGAATTAATATCCATGGAGTAATGAATCACTTGAGATGGTTGGCTCAGGCTCATGTATCAGACTCTCCCCCTGGCCCCCACTGTTTCTCACTCATGTCTTAAGCTTACTTGTTTCATATGCTCTTGCTCTCACACAGTGCCTGAGACTGTATTTTCCTAATTGGGCTTTACTAATTTCTGCAGCTTCCCCTCGTCTTCTTTTTCTAGGAAATCAAATTCATCATAAAATTGCAGATATGAAAAAAAGATTAAAAAAAAAAAAAAAAAAAGTTCTCAGTTTCTCTTTCACCTGTATAGCAAAAATTGGCCTAAGCAGTCCTATAGCACCTTGGACCTTAGTTATTGCAATGGGCTTAAATGTTGCACAGAGTTCAGCAGACTTAATAAAACATATAACATAAACACTGCAAATAAGCAAACAAAAATTTACTTCTGGATGGCCAGAGCACCATATGAATAACTGAACTGAATAAAAATTACTTCCAAATATGTACAAATGCATTTTTTTTCTCTCTCATTTTTAGGATGCTCATGGGATGTTTTATAAAAATATTCCCTTAAAAACACCAGCATATTTGGTTCAACTAAGCGAAGAATTCAGCTAGTTTTTATTACACCTATTAACAACTGTTTCACCTTGGAAGAAAATGGTGCACCAGTAACATGAGGGTTTCTTATTTATTTATATTATAATTTTATTCAAATTCTCTCTTTTGGCTGATGCCCATTCTTTTGCACATGGATCACCACTGTCTTGTATCTGGGACTGCAAATGACAGATGCAGAATTTTATAAGGAAAGAAAAGTCCTTCACACTGATTTTTAAAGACGGATAACATTTTTTATGTCAAGCATGACAGCTAGTTTGTAATAAGAGAATGGACACAAAACCAGCAGAAGTTTTGTCATCATTCTCTCTACCCAAGCCTTTCTCCCAAAGAGAAACTTTCATGTGGTCACTTCCACGACCCATTTTCTGTACAGACTGGACAGGTAGTATTCAGGCACTGCCAACTCGTTGACCTTTTAGAGGTCAACAAAATTTCTTGAAAATCGGTATACTTAAAATAATTGCAAAATCCTGCTCTAAAAAAATAAGACTGACTACCACCCAAATGCATACCACAGCTTTGCAGGAATACATTTACAAAACAGTTTGTGGCACAAAATTTGACTTTCAGAACTAGGATATACTTTTCCCCCCAGTTGGCAATGATTTCTTTTTGGGATATGTTTTCCCTTTTAGTGTTACGAAGGCTCACTGCTCATTAATCTGCACATGTACCACTTTCTTTCTCAGATACTCACTTGCACGGACACTTGAAGAAAAATGCTGTGCTCCAAGGCCCAAATCCTAAAAGTCACCTATGTGGCGAGTGCCCTTGTCCTCAGAGGTTGCACCCGCATGGCAAAAGCACAGTCAGACCATGAGAAATACGTGTCCGAGCACAGCTAGGGGCTCTGATGGACCGTAGCAAGGTCAAGAAGGCAGGTAGTGTCTAAGCAGCCTTGCATATAAAGGTGGGGGGATCACACAACATGCCTGCATTCATCTTCAAAGGTTCCTTAGTCAAGAAATCATTTTTCCCCTCTTCCCTATCTTTTCAAAATTTACACCCAAGGATCTTGTGTGATGGGCACTAAAAAAGCCAGTGCCTCAGCCCACTTAAGTATGTACTGCTCCACAGAGGGGTCAAGAGTGATGGCTGATTTAAACTCAAGGATGCTTCTAGATAGGCAGCTGTGAGATAATTTACTAACTCATGTCATGTGCTGAGAAAGCAACATCCTTTGTAGTGGGAGAATAAATCACCCCCTCTGTGCTACATTAGCTCAGTTTGGATTCAGCCTTGATAGCTGGTTGAAAACTGCGGCAGTTAGAGCATGGTGGGGATTTATAACGTGAATCACAGCCTTTGAGTAGCTGTGCTGAATCCATTAACTAATCTTCCCTTGTGCCACTTAATCTAGGACAGGGGAAGTGACTACTCTGTGCTTTTCCACCAGAATTTCTCCAGATTTTCAATATTATTACACAAACATTGCAGGAAGAGTGTGCAGTTGAGTAAGTCAGTCACTGCCAACAGGTCAGTAAAATAACAAACAGTACTTAATTTCAAATTCCACAATTATCCTTACAAGTTAGTACTCGAAATCCTCAAACCTTCTAGCAATCCACAGTGCAATGTAACATATTATAAAACTTTTGGCAAAGATTTTATATGTTCACACTCACACCCACATATGTACTTCTGCACGAACTGTCTGGAGGTAACCGTGCTGCCACGCTCATACAAATGTCCAGGAAATACTTAAAATTATTTTAAGGGGCCAAATAGCTAGTGCTTCGTCTGGCAGGGTCCTGACCTGCAAGCTCTGCATTGCATGTAGAACCCCCATCAAATGCTGAGGGTTACTGAGAATGCTGCACGTTAAAAAGACCAAGGTACCGCCTAACAGTGCTAATTTATTTATTCGTCTATTTAGACACACACAACCCTACTGTTACCATAACTGATGAAAAGGCTATCAAAGGTAAAAGATAATAATGTTTAGTTGACTAATACACCAAAAGTTAAGTTTTTCTTGCATGCAAATAGAATTGTACTTTCTATTTTGTACTGTGGAGATCAGCGCTAGTTATTTTGTCATTTCTAGTTATTTTATCATTTAGTTTAAAAAATAGATGGTTTATATCTTACCTTCATGTACATGTTAGTGACCTGAGTCTATACCTGCTAATCATAAATGCCTCTATGTACAGGATAATTATTCATTGTCCAGAACACCACCACCTCAGAAACTTATCATTTTACTCATCTTTATCTTTAATAACACCGTCTTTTCTTTGTAGTAACATCTAATCACCAAGAAATAAGTCTGTCAATTCTGAAAATCACATTTCCATGTTTAAAGCCTAAAATAAGTATTAAAGTTAATCTCAAAGTGTATTCAAAAAATGTACATGTCTGTTCAAATACTGACACATATTCCTTAAGAGGCCTGCTGAAAAAGATACTGTAGCTCAATGTAACTTTTTTAGATGTAGTGTAGGGGGGTGGAAATAATTAAAATGTTACCTTTGCCAAGTAATTCCCAATGTATCCTCACTGGCACTGGGGTATAAATGCCTGCCGTTTTGATTCATGGTCCAGTCACAAATCCTCAGCTGTCAATTGAAACCTAGCAGTCAGATATGGATCGAGCAGTACTACAGTTTTTAGTATTTAAACGAACACATGCAAACTAGTACTGTACATGGCAAAAGCCTTACTTTCCCAAGAAGAACTTTTTTTAAAAAAAGAAAACAAACAAACAAACAAAAATAACATACAGAAAAATAAATGCCTATAGATTTGCTTAAGGTAATGCTACTTTAATATGCTCCTCCATTAATAAAGCATAAAAGAGCAACTAGTGTTTAGCACATAACAATTAGCCATTATTAGATTACAAACTGAGCTGGAATAAAAGAAAATGTTAATATTCAATAGCGAAATATTTAAAGAAAGAAAATCAAAATGCTGTTTTTGATAAGCAATGCTCTAAATAATGTGTATTAAGGTCAAACATAATCAATATCTCAAAGCATGCATTTGGCGAAACATAGAAGACATGCAATTTATAGAAAATTTGCTCAAATTACACAAACTGTGTGCCCTTATCTTGCTATTTAAGAATGGTAAAGGTATTTTGTAATTGAAGTTTATTAATTTAGTGTTACTGAGAGCGGTTTTACTTAGCAAGAGGTGATAATATAATCTAATCTTGTTCTAGACTTGGAATAATAGCATTTAAAATATTTTATTACATTTAAATATGATGAGGAATGTACTAAATGTAAGCTGAAACAAATTATTCCCAGATCCTCAAATCATCAGTTCTGCCTTTGCAGATTGTTCAAGTAACCCTATATAGCTCTGTTTGTTTAACAGCTGCCCTATAGTGCTAGCAGATTTATTGAAAAGATATACTGCTTATTTTTAAGTTTAAGAAAGTAAACTTATCTGGCTTGTGAAGAAAACATATAAGAAGCATACATTTCAGTCTCTGTAAAGTCATGCTATATATAAATTACTGTACCATTATGTATGATACAGCGCTCTGAATTGAAGATAACTGTTGCTGGATTTAATTGCATTCAACACATTCTAGTTTTCTCTATGCATATTCACTGTCTTCAGGGTGCACAGGCTACAGCAAACAAACTAAAACAAATTATTTTCACAGGAGCACAATTAATTACAGTCTTTTCCTGACAAATACATATGCTAAGGACAAGACAATATTGCAGATCTGACCCTGTCTGGCTGTTACACTCATAAGCTTCCTGCTGTTAAGGTCTGAGAAATGGAAATGTTAGTCTCTGATGTTTTCATAGGGATTGTTTCTTGTTTGTTATCTAAAGAACTCTAAGGGACCTTCTAAAGGCCACTCAAAGCATGACTAAACCACATGAAATTAACCAGAAAAGGAAACATGCAGTCTAAAAGTTTGCTAGAGGTAACTGTGAAGAATACATTCAATATCCTTAAAGAAAGGAGTAAGTAAATATTTGGTATATTCACTTTACAAAACAGTATATCAGATTTTCACTTTGAAGACATAGAAAAAATATTTCAGTTCAGTTAGTGAACATGTGGTTGTATTTCTGCTACAATCCTTAGGAAAGTGTCATCATTTTCATTGCAGAGGGGAATTGTAAAGCTTTATAACTTAATTATAAAACTCAATTGCAGCTGAAACACAAGGCAAGAAGGAGAATGACAAGAAGAAGGAGAAGAGTAAAATCTACAAATAAATACTCTGAATGATATTATGCACTTAGATTTAACTCTAAAATTTGGCAATCACTTAGTCTGCAATAGAACCTCATTGCTTTTTCTATTTGGGGAAGAATAAAGAGTTGATACATTACATCCTAATTAAATAGCTACTATCCTAAACAGTGATATTCTTCCTACAGTTTGAGGAAATTTTCTGTATGTACAATGAATATATTTGAGCTGCAATTTAAAAAGATCCAAAAGAGTTTTTCAAATCTGTTTCATAAATGTTAGTAATGGCATACTACCTATTATCAGCACTCATATGTATCCCAGCACATATAACATATCTAAATACTGTAATAATACTTACAGAGCATTCACATTTTAAATACGTGCTGCACAAACATACCCACATGTATGTGGGAATTCATACTTTTCCAGATATACAGTTAGTGCAAGCTGTACCAACTATGCCCTTCTTTTGGTAATAACAGTTACTTGATAAACTGGAAAACTGTGTAACATCATGTTTGTGACAAGCCTGGGACTGCACTGGGTGTTTCACATCTTCCTGATGTAACGCTCCCTCTCCCCATTCACTTCTGCTTACAGATCAGGATAGTAGGCCAAGACAGCAGGCCAAGACAGTAAATTATTCAGAAATATCACTTGAAGAGTTCACATCCCTCACATTCATTGAGTACTTCCTGGGTAAAAGAGCTGGAAAAGCTTAAAAGAGCTTAGAGGACCTCCTCTCCTCACTCAGTTTGAGAGAGGAAGAAGTGTTTGGAGCACCAGCAGACACAGGGACAGCCCGGTAGGAGAAGTGTGGGAGCAGAGCCCTGAGGTGTGCACCTAGTTCTGGAAGGAGGTAGGAGGCTTGAGTACCCTACATGTTTGATCTCTAGTGGTGTCTGGAGTCACGCTGAATCATTTCTGGCCAGTTACAGGTCTCAGAGTGACTTAGGTAGAGTTTAAAACTCTGCCACGGTGTTGGCTGCAGAGGAGGAGGCACACTAGTAGCAAGTCCTTGCAGACCTTCCGTGCAGGCGATGTGAAAAGGAGAGGCAGGAAACTGCTTGCAGGCTGCTTGAGAAAGCTTGAATTCCCTGGCAGATGGATTTAACAAAGAGTCCTAGCAGATGTGTTTAATAAATGCTGAAAAACATTACTAATGTTCTCAAAAATATGTTTTGAATACAGACTAAATTACATGATTTGGCACGTGACAGGGTGAAAAGTCTTTCCTAGAAGGCCGCTGGGAAGGTCTGCCTTCCAGTCTCACAGCTTTGCTTTTGCTTTTGGAGCAAGGCAAGTTGCACAGACTCCCCTTCGGTGACGTCCCCCACCCTCCCAGCATTAGTGGGTATTTATTTATCTCTCACCTAAGCACCCAAAGAGCATGAGGAGAAGAGGGGCCTGGCTTGGCAGTGCACCATGAGGCCCGACCATCTCTAGGACTTGGCACTTCATTCTCATCAGAGCTCTCACTTACGAGTGGGGAGAAAGCTCAAAACCTGCACTAAAAGCTACTCGGCTGCAAGTACTTCTGCAGCGAGCCCATATCACTCTCTTGCTATCACTTCTGTTTATATAGGGCTATCCTGCAGTGTATTTACATAGACAGCTCCCTTGCACATTAACATCCTATAGTCAGCAGCTCAGCTTTTAATCAGGGCCTGAATGATTTTAAGGGTATGATTAAGCAAGTTATGTTTTCTCAAATTAAACTAACCATCTGAAGTTAATATGCACTTCAATCTTCTATAATGATCAGTAAAAGTAAACAAATATTTTGGAATGTGTAATAGGAGACTGCGCTATAGTTTCTGCCATTTGAGAAAAGCCCGTAAAACTTAACATTTGCATATTGTCATTGTTTTGACCGAAACTTCCTTTAAATGTGTTTCCTTTCCAACAAGCATATGTGAAAGGTGACCTCTTATCCATTTACATACCTTCCTCATGGTCATGTGACCAAGTTTTACGTCAAACTGTCAATTATGATAAGGGACACAATAAGAACAGTCTAAGTGTTGATAACCTGTTTCCTGGCTTTACTGAGAAGTTCTGTTAAGAGTCCACTTGTGTTCTTCTTCCAGGCTTTTGCTGAAAGCAAAAGCAACATCCACCCAAATATTTTAAAAACAGATACTCTGTTTTCAGTGGATATTTAAGTTTATAGTTTCCATGATGAACAGTATAAAGAGAATGCAATTTTGAGCTGCATGATTCAATAACTAAAGGATGCATCTGGAAAGAGCAACTTCCTACCACAGAGGCAAGGCAGTCTTCTGTGTAGGAAATAAAGAGCTATTCATGATTTTCTCATTTTACATTTTAGAGACTTGAAGTGTTTATTATAGCTCTATGCATGTTAAAATGTCTCACTAATAAATACCAAAGCAGTGTGAAAAATGTGAATACTGCACACCACATGCAGAAAGCCCAAGCTGTAGTGAAATCCTTGCAGATGTGCTAAGCAGTGCAAGACTAGAAGAGTTCACCAGTTACTCAGTACTTGGGCCAATATCAGTTAGCACACTTTACTAGGAGAGACAGAAGAGTTTTAGAGGTCATTGTTTCCACTTATTTCTATTTTTTTTTATTAAAAATACAAACACCAGTCCCAAGCTCCATGCTACACTGAAACTGAATAATATCTTGGCCAAAAAGGAAAGCATTAGCCAGTTATTTGGTTAATTTCTGTAGAAACTTGATGAATTCTGAAGCCATTAATCTGTCCTTCCAATAAATAGCTTCCAATAAACCTATCCACGTACCTAACTACCTACATTCCTACCCATTCATCTATCTTTTTTTATATTTTTTACACAGCTAGAGTCCACAACTGCTAATTCTGGCAATATTCTAGGTAGGCTTAGAGCCAGAAATAACATCAATTTATCTCTGGGTCTTCATAATTTCACAGACATAATGGTTTCATGAAGTTGAGGTTATAAATATGATGAGTTTACAGAAATGTCACCTGATATCCATGAGAATTACAGTCCACTGACCATTAACATTTTTGTTACTGAACTAACGATCCATTAAAGTTATATAGCCATAAGAATGGACATACAACTAAAATCTGGCACCTGGCACAGGGACTCTGTGCACTTGTAGAAGGTTGAGTTTGACTAAACTACTTCAATTTGTTACTTTTTCCCTCTAGTATAGACTTAGAAATGATGCATTATATATGCATTATTATATATGCATTATCAGGAAATGCATATATAAACAGTGACTGAATCAGAGAACGAAAGAGGGGAAGAAAGGGTGCTGTCACCAATATGAAGATTATACAATCTTTTTTTTTTTTTTGCATGTAAAGTTAAGATGCTTCTTAATGCAGATGATGAGCACAGAGTGCTAGATGAGACTTAATAATTAAAAATCAACACTAAAATTAAGAATAATGTCCTTACTCACATAATAACTCTTAGCATTCCCCATTTTCCTCACCCTTCTGGACTCCCCCAATTAGTCTACTAGCACGTTACTAATGACGAACTTCTGGAAGAGCACACAGAATTAAGGAAAACCAAGTGGTCAGTAACAACTTGCAACACTTTGGATATTTTTGCACATTGCTTGACTTCCTTGTGAAAAAAAAATGGTGACTGCCTAGATGCCACTCAGGCAACAGGCTTGTGCTGCTGTTATTGTCACAATATAGAATATCTGGCATTTCAAGGCAGATGGTAGGAATCACAGCAGAAAGTGGACTGCATAGCTATAATTCCTTATTATAACCTCATCTTTCTAACTACCAATGCAACATGCTAAGTAATAAATGTAACAGCACATTTTGCGCAGTATTCCAATCAGTAAATCCCCAAATATTGCTCCCATAAGTGCTATTCTGCACTTTCAAAATTGCATTTAATGTTTCCCACCTAAATGCAAGTATTTCAGATAGTTTGTGCTACAAATTGTTATTGGAAGTGCTTGCACTTGTCACTTTATAAGAAGTTCTCCGTGTAAGCACAGTTTGCAAACTGTACATTTGACTTATAAATTTATTGTTACTGTAATTTATATAGATCACATTACCTTTTTTTTAACAACAAAAGAGCATTCAACAATACATGGTAATATTTCTCATAACTAGAGAGAATAAATCTTTAGAAAGCCCCCACCAATGAAGTAAAAAACGCACTGGTGACAATATTTATTCTTAAGAGGTCAATGTATATTACAAGGTATGGTGAATGTTTAAAAGACCTCTCTGGAACTAAAACCATTGACTTTGTAATTTAGAATTTCTCTTAGCTAATACAAAATGATTGATTGCCTTTACTTCATGTACGCCTTGATTTTCCTTTTCATTCATCATAGGCTGCTTTAAACTAAATGCGTTTAGAACCTGCCACAAGAATGGTTTCTTTTAAATTGCTGTAAAGTAATGAAAGGACATAGTAAATCAATCTCATTTCTGCCTTATGCAAGGATACCCTTTACTCTATCGAAGTTATTTAGATAATTTCACTTCTCTACCCTTCACCCTGCACCACCTTCTGGATAGTAAACATATATGGCACCATCAACTCTGTGATCCTGTTAGGATTTAAGAGTATAAACGTATTCATTAGAAACTTATTTTATGTATATTGTGTTTATACACTCGTATTTATCCATCTGAAAAAGCTTCATTATTCAAGCATTCTATCCTCATAGAATGTTGAGCAGGACATACTATTCCCTAATTTTACACGTCTTTATGCACATAGTCATTCAAGCACACACACACACACAAATACACCCACGCAAGCATACACACATACCCCTCACATAATTTAGAAAAGAACAGAGAACTGACAGCAAAGAGGAAACTATGACACAATTTTTCAATTTACTAAGCAGCTCACTGGCCACTAATTGATGCTCTCTAATTAATATAATGAGACTACGAAGCGATATACTTCAGAAGAGAGAACACTAGCTTCACACAGCGGCACAGAAGAAGAAGAAATTTCTGTTTATGTAGTCTGTGCAAGAGCTAATTTATCCTTCTCTTTTTTCCTGATCCATGGGACTACAAGTTTTAATATGAAAGGCAGGGTAAGGCTTGTAAACACCAAATGGGATGACCTTAAGATCACTCTTGACCTTAAGATCACTCTCAAATATATATTCCTATCATACTGCTAAAATCTCAAATTTATTTCAATCCATACAAAATCAAAAATATTTAGAAGTTGCATTAAATAAGCATTATATGACTTAAATATGATAAAGTCAGCCCAGAGAAAATTAAATGTGCTGCAACTATCTCCTAGTCATGTGATAAAGTATTTGCACCTCTTTCAGTGAAGCTGAAAGAAGGGGAAATGGGTTTAAGCTGTAGCAAATTTACAGAAAAAATGTGTCTGTTCATATGCACCAAAAAAGTTCATCCCCAAAGTAACTGGATGTTAGAAAATTGCCAAAGACTACTGTGTAAAAACTTTACATGAAAAAAAAATCAGAAAATAAATAATATTTAGAGAGAGATCCTCTGTGTGTTTTTAAAAATAATCATCACATATTGTCAGAAAGAATTATATTATAGTAATTATAATACATACAACACATAGTTGAGAGGTGAAAAAGCAATATACCAGAAAATTTACTGAAAAATCAGTGGTTGATAAAAGCCACTAATTATCATTTAGTATTTTCATAACCATGTACAGACGTTTCCAGTTAGGTTTATCTGGTCCAAAAAAAAAATGGCAGAATGTCAACTATCTTGAATAAACTACCATATTTATGATTTTCTCTGAAGTCTGCATGTGGGGACCCTTAAAACAGATATACTGCCACCTTGCCCTAGGAGCGGGCAGGGATAGGGAGCTCCAGACAAAGCGCAGTTATTGTATCACAACATGTGGAACAGGTAGGCTTACTGAAAATGAAACAGGCATGTATACCAACTCCTGGTAGGAACCCAAGTCTGAGAAAAAATACAATACAATAAATAATGACTACTTAATAGCCCTTTTCTTCCTGTCACATTCTTTTTTTTTTTTATTGTAACATTTTACATACTGCTAATTTCACACTCCTCTGCTGTTAGGATTTAGGAGCAACATATCCACACATCATAAAATAAAGTTCTAGAGGGTCTTAATTTATCTCTGTTACTAGCAATATAGGATTTCTGCATTTGCAGGCCCTCACTATTGACTGTGTTAACTTGTTTGTGAGTCAACATTAATCTCAACTGTACATTTTCACAGTTTGGGTAAACACTTCATTTGCATTACATTTACAGCATTAATGAGACATGAAATTTAAAACGCTACTTGAAACAAAAAAGATGTAAGAAATTAGAACATAAATATGTTTATATCACGTTTGAAATCAACAAACCAATTTAAAACTTTTAACGGATGAGCAATAATCTGTTGCACTGAGCGTTTGGTTTTATAACTCATCTTCTGGAACTAAAATGCAGAAGTCAAAAGCAGTAGGCATAAATCTCTGGAAAAATGCAAACAGCTGAAGAATAGTAATTCGGACTGCTTAATTTTGCTTACTCTTCTTGATTTTGAAATGAGTACTCACTTATGCTCCTTGTTTGCTTCACTCTTATTCCTAGCATCCAATTAAAGGTTAAATATATGAGCTCTTGAAAAATACTTGAAAGAGAAAGATACATGAAGTCCATTATATGAAGATGGCACAAATCTAAGAAATAAAGTATAAGCTAAGATGATATTTCGTACAGGACTTGGAATAAATCTAGTCATTGGAAGAGAAATACTCAAGCCCTTAGAATCCCATTGTAATCCAAGATAACAGTGGCAGCACGTAGAAAGGAAATATCACAAAAGTTTGTGTATATCATTACACCTATGTGAAACTTGCCCACCTGTTGCTGGTGTAGGAAGGATGGGTCTCTTGGGCTTAGTCCCACATATCGATTGGCTTGGGTTGTGCCTGAGGCTGTGTAGGCTGATTAAGGAAGAACAAAACACATTGATAAAAATGCCAACCTAGCATAACTATCACCCTGTGCAGGTACAGTACAGATATAAGAGATCCAGAGTTATGATTTGCAATATACAGGATGTGTCTGTGTCTTTTTTTTTTTCTTTTTTTTACTTAAACTTTAATAAAATGCAAAAGAATTGGACCAAATTCAGAAAAGTATGTGCAAATTCCTATGAACTTCAATGGAAGCTGCATGTGAAAATCAAAATCAGATTGACCTAGTTAAATTTAAAATCATCTGATAAGTATCTGTTTTTTAAAAAGCAATTAAAAGATGACATATATTTGAAAACATTGCCCTGGTACTCATTCTCATTACAAAAAAAAATGTTTACAGCAATTTGTGGTATTATATTGTTGTCATTACTGAGAGAAAAAAATAAGGAAATACTGATACATGCTAATTTTTACTGTTGTGTGTGCCCAATACAAAACTGTAACAGAATAATAAAAATTGGAATTAAAAGCTTTGCTTGCTTAGGTGGCATGAAATTAATCTTTGTTTTGCTTTGGAAAGAAAGGATGCAATCTGACCAGTATTTTCATGAGAAGGCAGCTACTTTTCGCTGTGCAATATTAAACATTCAACTCCTTTAGGTATCAGGAAATAACATTCACTCCGGAGGGGAGGAGACAATTTAAGGAAATCTATCCATTATCTAATGCAGAAGCTTAAAGAACCTTAGATTCTTCTCTAATGGAAAAGCAAACTGTAGCTGATGGTGGCATTAGTTACAATACATGGATCCTTCCACCAAGGAGGAAGGATCTTCATCTCTGCCTTTGGCCAGTAATCATTAAAAGTCATCTCCCCACATGACTTTTGGTGATGTTAATGAAAAGAAGTTGGCATTCTTGCTCCACTTTCCAGTGTGGAAAAGCCCATATCGCAACTCACATCACCATCATTGCCTCAGAGACAAGGCAGAACTGCAAGAAAATTGTGGGGAAAAAAAAAAAAAAACCCTGTGTACGACTATACTTTGCAACTGGTGAAGAATGTACTTACTAAAGTACTTACTAGACTGGTCCATCAGTATTAGTGACACACACACTTTATAGGGCCTTTTTACAGTAATCAGGTTTTACTGAAAAGCTGCTATAAAAATGATCAGATATTAGAAAGAAACTGTGGTTGAGGTCACAGAATTTCCCAAATATTATCAAAACCTGCTGCTCTTTCTTGTTTAAACAATTCTGATGTAGCATTTCAGAATGAAAAGCAGTATCAATCATTTACTGTTGTTTTCTCACCAGACTGAATAATTGTGACATCTGGTAGCCAAGTATTTTTTACATATGTATCAACATATGTATATTCTGAAACAAGTCAGTTATTGGAAATAAATTTAAAATCATGCCTTAAAATTTATTTAGACTTTTCTCTTTATTTAGACTTTTTCTCTTTAGGTCAAGATATGATCTTTCTAAAGAATGTTTTTTATGGCTCTAATAGAGTATATATTTACATATCTAACATATCAGCAGGACATGACTCTTCTTGTTTTGCTGTTTCCTTCACCTGCAAACTGTGTTCCTCTGCTTTTTCCCATATTTATCTTCCAGTTATCAATACATTTTCCAAAAGCTATACCAAGGAGCTGCATTATCGCACAACTGTGGAAAACTTAACACTTTGAATATGTAGCATTTCCCAACACCTCATACGCACAATTGGGAAATTCGGATAAAAAAAAACTTTATTATTATTATTATACTATTATGACACATATTGGACCTTTAGGCAAGACACTGCTTACAGGTTGCTCTGTAAGCATGAAGAGGCCTTATTTCAAATATCTAAATGGTCATTTCAAAGGTTGGTATGGTGTACTCAGGTGTCCAGGTTATAAAGAAATTAGAAAGAACTTGGGTGACTATTTTGTTAAATGACTTTGAAACCTTAAGCCAGGTTTTTTTCCTTAAATAGGAGGACAAAATCAACAGATTATTAATCAACCGATTATGTCTGCTTTGCCATCGTAGTCCCTAATATGGTTAGAAAACATCAGCATTGTTCTGACATGGTATTCTTTCCTTTTTTTTTGGGTGAGGGGTGGTTTAGAGACCTGACTTCATGAGAGACAGATGTTTGGGCAGGTGTGAACGCTTCAAACAAGCAGTAGGATGAAGCTATGAATGCTTGAAACTAGGAGTCTTTGCACCTATTCTAGACCACAAGTTGAAAGAGCAACTTTTACTTTTGTTAGCTGCTAAAGCTAAGTCATCTTAAAAGGAGCAAGACCTGCACAGTAAGGCACCAGAAATAATATAGATTCACTTTAGTATATAATCCTTTGAACAGACCTTCTCCTATCCAGGCTAAAATGGTTGAACAAATCTATCAATACAAATGTTAGTTTGCACTTAAGAAAAGTTTGTTCGAAGCTCCTCTTATTCTTTTATAATAAAGACATAAGAAGCTTTCCTCCATCGTATATTGCCTGCTCATACACATTTGACTCTTACCTCTACCTTATATTCTAACACAACGAGTACATTAGGATAAATACTCAAGTATTACCACAGTTGATGGTCTCAGTTAATAATAATCCAAAAGTTAGGGAGTGGAATCAGTATTTAAATAATAAATGTCAGTAAAGCTAGCCATTTTAATGTAGTAAGTCTTAAAGATTTTTTTTATGAATAGTAAGTTTTCTTCAAAATTGTGTTATCAGAAGTATTGAATAACAATCTTTGCCACACTGATAAATGCTAATAACACTGGACTACCCAAGTCCCTCAAAATTCAAAGAAAATACAAGTGCAAAAAGTAGTTAAACAATAACCTTCTGCACCACTGGGCATAAGCCATATTCAGAAGAGATTACCTTATGCACAGTAATCCCTGTGTTCTCATTTCTAAAACTGCAATTCCATTGAAGATAATAGGATAAACAAAAGGGCCCTGAACATACAAAGAGCTTGAGGCTTGGAAGTCAAAAGTTTCTTTTGCCCCATCATTTATTTTTGCCAAAAATGACACAACCTATATCAAGCATGCAATTGTCATAGCTCGGATCCAGTATGTGTTGTAATAAGGCTTGATTTCTGTAGGAAAGCTCATTGAGGAGCAGCTTATCCAAACTTTATGGAATTCCATGTGTGGGTCATTGTAAAACCTTGCTGTCTGGGTGTGCTTCTCAATGTCTTAACAATGTCCACCTTAGAGGAATGATCTGCCTTTTTTTTTTTTTTTTTTTTTTCTTGGATAGTGGTCAAATAAGCAGGCTTTTCCATTTCATTTTGGTTGTCATGTCACAAATATCAGTTCATGTACCACGGTATATTGGTTTAAATTTCAGGAGGAAAAGCTTTGCAGCCAGATCACGTCTGCTCTCCATGTGAAATGATGAGCATCCACTTGGTCAAATAGTAGGAAAAGGCGCCTTTTTCTGGCCTCCATTGAAATCATATTGAATCTTTGATGGACATTTTTTTGTTTCCTAGAGAAATACTTACTGGTTGCTGTAGGTGAAGATGCCTCACCTTCAGTGGATGTAGTGATGGGTTTAGTATCTGTCATGGTCAGGGTCACAGGGAGCACCGCACTGTGATGGGGAGAGGGTGCCAAAACTGGAGTAAAATGGCCTTCCCTACTACTTGACCACTGCTGTTAGGCTACAAAACAAAACCAAAAGTTTTCCTTGGTGAAATATACACATTGTGTTTAAGGAACCTACCCACCTATCTCAGGGTTTTCCAAAATGCCCATCACCTACATGCTGGAATACACCGTTCTCACAAACCCCTGTGTGGCACTTGCAGCAGCTCCTTTCGTTGACAGGTAGGCACCACGTGCTTAACTTGCAGTGGTGTATACACCTTACTTCCTTCTGGGTACAGAATCCTGCAGATTGCTTCCTGCTACAGCTGCCGTTCTCACAGTGACTGGGAACCACAGCAGATCCCACCACAGTGAGATTCAGCTGACCAGGCACAGGCCCTAATGTACCGAGCACAATTGCAAATGAATGATGCAAAAGTCTGCTTTCACATTCTGCACCACTCTGGCTGGGAGCATAACCAAGACTTGACCACAGCTGACCACAGAGATTTCACCTCCTGGAAGGCTAACTAATAATTCGCATGTTTGGGGTGGGAGAGGGTTGGGATATGGTGCACTATAATGGATATCATAACATCTGGCCAAAAGCCACCCACCATAAAGCATCCTTTGCAGAGGTTTTTAATAATGGGAACTCTGTAAGTCAAGAGTATAATAAGCCTAATCGCCTCTTTTCCTAGATATATTTACAGTAGGTAGAAAAGGCAATCTGCATAAGACATAATGGTGCAGGTCACCAGGGCAGTATTCTACCTCCTGCACATAGGAACTTGGCAATGTGCACTGGTAAACACATACATTTATTCAATGTATAATAATTTATATTCTGCACTACTGTGAAAACTCCAACACTAAACAACACGAAGCAAAAAATAGCATCTAGTAAACAGTTATTTCAGAAGCAGCAGATAATTTTTGTTTGAAGCTGATTGTGTGCGCTATGAATCACAAGCATTTTAAAATACAACCATACAACACAAGAATTACTGGGAATCTTATTATCAGAAGGATATTGTCAAACTTGAGATAACTCACTGAAAAGAAGCAGACTAATAAAGGACTTGATTCAACTGATAGAAGGAAAGGTTAAAAGAGGTAAGCATGGGTATGGTAATGAAATAATAACTGTGGGCTGAGATGATTACTGCAAATATGTGCAGAGTATAAACACACAAGAGGAAGGAATTATTTGGAAAGTACAGGAAGTATAAACCAGGGGTAATGGAATAAAATAAAGAAGGAGGAAATTTAAAATGAATAGCAGGAAAACTTCCTGGCAGTATGATCCATTAGATTTTGCAAAAGCCCCCAAGGGAGACAGTGAGAGTCTTGTTCTTTAGGATATTCAAAACCAAACCAGAAAAAAAAAAAAAAAACACACACTAAAAAATATGAAGTGCAAACAAAGACCAATCCTGCATTCACAGAATCACGGATCAGGTAGCAGGTTATTTCGCTGTCTAAAATCTTAGGTTTTATGAAGAAAATTAACAGCAAAGATTATTTTAATGAGAAAGGGCCAGCAAGCTACTCCTCTAAATGAAAATACAACTCTTTAAATTTTACTATATGTATTATGACTGGGAGTGGGAGAGGGAAGTGCCATGTAATCCCAACATCTCATTTTGCAAGGTTTTGCAAATATAGAAACTGATATCCAAATCTGTCAGGTGCTATTTCCCACTGTTTGTTCATATTCATAGTTACATAAGCAGAGAAGAGAGGAGAATAATAACTGGAGAGACAATGTCAGCTGCCAAAGCAGTTTCAAAATAAGAAAGCAGCACCGATTAAAAGGAATGACAATACATGCACATTTTAAATTTTCCCAAATCACTGGTACACTACATTTTTTTTTCCACTGGATGAAACTTAGCAGTTAGCCAGGTCTTTCTTATTATATATACCTGAGAGGAAAATGACACATAGCAGAATATATACAAGGCAGATTACAGAGAATGATGTGGCATAAAAGTTTACTCAGCATCTGCTTTCATGGTTACATTGCTCGTAAGCGGAAGACCATTCAGAACTTACATAATTCTTTCCTCAAGAATACAAATGAAACCTTTGTATTACACCAAGTGGTCATATATAAAATGCATGCCAATAATCCTATTTTCTCTAAAACCTATTTTAGCAGTGATTTTATTTTACAGGCTGCATTTTAAATGCCTGTCAGCCTCTAAAACTGGGTGTCTTTTCTACTAGACATCTGGCTCCACTTGCCTTAGAACAAAAGGAAAAATTTAACCAAATTAAATTCTGAAAAATCTCAAAGCATCACCTAAAATAGATTCTCCATGCAAAGAATCCAAGATACACCAAACTTAGAGGCAAATAGTCTCCCTCACTGCCTGCTCGTTTCCAGTACAGAGCTGTGGCAACAAAACAGGCTCTGTAACATGTAAAGGAGGCACGATGTTCGAAGCATTAGTGGGCAAAACTGTCAGAAACAGAGGCAGGCCTAAAGACACATTTCCACCTCTAAAACACCCAAATTCAGCTGCCTTAGTTTATGCGGTGAACTAAAGTGGCACAAAAAAACAGCTGAGATTTCCTTACTATGATGATTAACTTTTATTAGAAACTAGGAAAGAAGATTCCAAGGAATTTATGGATTAAAATGGTCAGTGTCATCAGCTTCCAAAAGCAGCCCTGTCTCCAAAGCCAGACTCAAATTAATTAAATGGACACAGCTGGAGTCCAGCACTATTTACAGCAATGTATCACCTTTTACTGTTCCCTAGCGATCTGGTCAATAGGAATGCAACAGCTCACATGGACTCCAGATTAATCCTCGTGCATATGGTCCAAAACTGTGAACCCTTTCCTTGCTGAATTACATGACAAAGGATAGCATTCGCATATAAGCCATAGTGCATTCACATATAAGCCACATTTTTCCTGTATAACACCTAACAGCAGTGCAGCACATCTCCCCACTTCATCCAAAACCAGGGTGAAATTCATACAAATACCATTCTCCTTCAACAGGCATTTTTCTGATGCTAACCAAAGCCCTCCTTCTCACATAGTTCACCATGAGAAATGGAGTACAATAAATTTTATTAAAACTTCAGTGTTTTCCCTACGGGTGTTATATATGAAAACAGAGATCAGGAACAACATTTTCACTCTTCTAAATTCTCATACACAAATGCCATTTGCAACAAACCTTCTTAAAGCATCCATACTTTTCTCCATTTTGCAAGCAGTGAATAACAGTGAAATCATTAAAAAAAAAAAACAATGTTTAAGTTACCATAAGTAGCTTGCAGCCTACAATCATAAAATATTCAAAAATAAGCCTATCATATCATTGTATCGAAGTTATTGTTTAGGCCTGTTTTCAGACTCATACTAGCATCTCTGCATTGACTTATGTCAAGTTCGCACTTGAAGGGTTATCTTTGCAAACACAAAACTTTTTTTTTTTTTAAGTTTAGATTTTGCAGTATGGTAGTTGATACAAGACTGCACTGGAACTTAAAAATGAATCAATTATCTCATCCATGCTGACACTAATCTCCCTGGCACCTAAAGAAAATCAGCATAAGCTTGAGAACATTGCCTCCCAAGCTTGTCTCAAGTCCCTTGCTCCCATTTCTTTCAGCGTGCAGAAACAGGTCTGTAAAATTCCAGATTCTGAATGTTATTAAAAACTGTTTACTAGAAATAGCTTCTGTGATTTGTTCTCATTTTTATTTTTGCAGTTCTTTAGAAAGACTGGCTTATGAGGCATTTTAATATGAAAATACTGTAGCTGTTGGGAAAGCAATTACTTACATTATAGATTCAAATATTTGTAACATATCATTTGATACAAATTCATTTTGTCCTTTTAAAAACATGTTCTAGTTCTGGTATTCCCCAAAGAGAAACTAATGCATTACAGGTTAAAAACCAACTGCAATCATCAGCTGGGGCATCAATATGTCTATGCAATGGATTCACAAACAGAAGGATGATGCCTGAGGCACAAACCTCAAGCAAATTGCATGGAGGCAGCTGTGTTAGATAAACAAGCTGTGCATTTGACAATTGGAGAAACAAGGACATAAACACAATGCAAGTCTGGCAAATTTAGCCCTAATTTATGTGGGCATACTTTTTTTTTTTTTTTTTTTGCATTAGAGACTAATTTGATTTTAAGGGCTGCATTATATACTCCAGCTTTTAAAAAATACAGTAGCTTGAGTTTCCACGGATTAAAGCGTTCATGTGTCCAGAGCTGCAGATGCATTGCATTGTCACAACTCTAACTAAACTCAGATTAGGCAGACAGTTAATACCTTATTGCCTGTATTACACAGACTTTCAGTTAACCCTTACACTCCAAGTCTGAACACAACATTTTGACAGGTATGAGTATGGAATTTGCTGCAGCTGTCTTCACCACCAGCATTTACTAAGAGATTTATAATCAGCAACCTAATTATGATCAGGTCCTCTCAGACCTCTGTTCCCAGACTTTCCCAAACATAACCATACTTACACCTAAGACTTTTGGTTATATTTAAGGACATCTTTTTTTTTCATGTGCCCTTTCTGTATAAATAAATAAAAGAAAAAATCTTCCAGACACGACATCAAAGTTCCAACAGTAACATCTGCAGATGATGCATTCAAACCTAACAACCTAACAGAAGCTTGAAATTTATGTTCATTCACACGTATTATTGATTTTTTTTAAATGTTAAGATACATTTTCTGTTTCTATTCATACTACATTGTTTCTCAAAAACTAACACTATATTTTGAATCTTAGATGCAAATGATCTTCAAAAAATAATCAACAAATGCCAGAAATTATTTTACACTTGTACAAGTCCTTGGTAGATGAATGTAAGAGACTATATCAGGCATTTCAGAAAGAGATTTTGGGACTTCCACACAAAATTTTGCTACTACAGCTAGTCCTAATGCTTGAAGAACAATATACCTGCATTGAAACCAAACTTTCCCATAGAAACTCTATGTTTCTCAAAATGGTTGCCCTACCACAACTGGTAAACTGCAATCAATCTTGTCACACTGGGTTCACTGCATT